GAGTGTTGACTACAGGTGTGAACAATATATTAACTTATGGTTTGAATTTTATTTGCAGTTTAATTTTCTCGTTCATTGGCTTATATTACGTGAACCGGATTAGTGCTAAAGTGCATCAAATGAATACTATTAATCCCAATATCGCTAATAACCCGACGTCTAAGAAACGGAAGTGAATTACGAGTTATTTTATATATTCATTGCAATTGTTTTGCTGTTTTTTCTATTAAAACTTAATTAACTCTAACATTGATTGACATTTTATTGGATTTTTAAATTATTTTTTTGTGGACTAAAATTGATTTCATATTTTTTACGATTAAAGTATTTATTTAATTAATTTTTATGTTTTATTTTGAATAGTTTTTGATTAAATTTTTGAGAGAGAGAGAGAGAGAGATTAATAACAGATTTTTCAATTATAACAATTCGTTATTAACGAATTTTATTATAGATAAATATTTTTTGGTACGGTAATTAAAATAGGGTTTAATAGCACTCGACAATTAAATCCATACAACCCACACAGTTTATGGGCCCTAATACTGTATGCCATAAATGTATACTGTACAGTACTGTTCAGTATCATTTAAATTCTTATACAGTATCTGTAATACAGAGTCTGTATTTAATCGAGAGATTCTATGAAAATTTGTTGCAAATAATGACACAAAATGTTGTAATTTTCAGTATTAAATGGTTTACGAATAGAGCAAATGAATGAGTGTGTTGTTAAATATCGAGGAGAGTGTGATATAAGAAATAATTCATTGATTTAATCAATTGTTGTTTAGTTATTATCTGAGTAACAGTCAAATAAAGGAGAGGTTAGGTGTTTGCACAACTATTTTCCAATATTATATTTATGGGCTTTGTATGGATTTATAAAAATTATTAATTTAATTGTCTTATAAAATAAATGATACTATTGTCTAGTATTTGAATAGTTAGTGAAAATTGTAGATGTGTGAATTATTCTGGTAACAATACCTAATTTTTCATAAAACTTAAAATGTCTAGATAAAAAATAAATATTTAGTATTTTTAATCGCAATTTAAGATAATTATTCATTCAATAATATTTGTATGATCTTTGTGAACGCCTATCATATCGCAAATACTTTAGTTATATTTAGCGATTACTTCATAAACAATTCAAATACTGCGCAAACATTTTGAGATAATAAATGTTAGTCTTAATTAAAATTAATTTTAATTTTATTTGGGTTATCTCAAGATTTGGATATTGAAACCATTCGTGGTTTTGATGACCTCCTGGACTGATTAATACTGGACTGACTTCGAGTACTCTAAACCACAACCAAATTTATTTTAATATAAGATTCAATAGAAATGTTTTTATATTTAGTGTTATATTTAAATGCAATTCTTAGTTATGTTTTAAACTTTACTTTAATAGCAATTTAATACAGAAATAAATATTTTATTAGTTTTAAAAATAATGATTTGTATATTTTATTAACCATTAATTACTAAATTTAGATGTGAACATAATGTATAGTCTATCAGGATTGTGGGCACCGGTAGGTCGTGGTGGGCAGACGTGTTTTGAATGGATGTCTCGACTTAAATCTCTTCCGAAGTTTTTATCAATGATTTCCTGTATAAATACACTTCTGTACTATACATGCAATTCTGTACCAAGATATTTAAGATTACAAACATTACAATAAAATTTAATTAAAATATTTGCCTAAAAGCAGCTGAAATTCTTAACTATTTGTAATTATAGTCTATTACTATGTGACATTTTTTTATTTCATTTTATAGGTATATTTATTTTCCAAGAATTACTTACTATTTGATTTGAAAAACTATGTATCAATACTACAGTAATAAGTTAAATGCAATTCAAAATTGTTTGACACTTATATTGATATGCAAAGTGCGATAATATGTGCTCAAGTTTTAGTGGCCCTCGACTTTATCGCAAAACTTTTGAGACTTTAACTCATTTTGTAATCTCAGAAATATATGTCTCAATCAATACTATCAGTACATCTGGTCTTAAGATTTTCTCTCTATATAAACCATTTAAACCACAAAATAGACACTCATTTAGTGATCCATTAGTTTTGTGTTTAGGACATAAAGTTTAGATATTCAAACACAACCATAAAATGTTTATTAAATTATTTTCATTCGTGTTTTTAATTTACATTTCAACTAATGGTCAGAATATATAGTTAACAAGTTATCCAAAAAAAGTTTTAAAATATTTTTTAAATTCACAGTTCGAGTGGAGGGCTATAAGGAGGCGTCGGGTTATGTGACTGTCCGTCCGGACGCCCACATGTTTTGGTGGCTATTTAACGCCAATGCAGGCCTTAATAATAATTCCTATGCCTTACCGTTAGTTATATGGCTTCAGGGTATGTCTATTGTATTTACTATCAACTGATTATAAGAGTGGTAAATTATAAATGTCGTTGGCTATTTAACGCCAATGCAGGCCTTAATAATAATTCCTATGCCTTACCGTTAGTTATATGGCTTCAGGGTATGTCTATTGTATTTACTATCAACTGATTATAAGAGTGGTAAATTATAAATGTCGTAAACTTGAACTTATTATAAGTGTTTGTAGAATAATAGCTAATGTATTGAAACTGATTATGATTATAGAGAAGTGTACTGTAAATGCTATTATTAGGAGCGATAAGATTGCTAAATAACTTTACCCAGTATATTCACATAATTATTCAGTGGAAATTGAGTTACTTTATTGAATAAGTAATTTCGTTGAAATTAAATTTAAAACATTGGTTTTAATTTTTATAATAATAAATGTTTATAAATATTTTACAAATAAAGTTTTAATACTTATGCATTTTTGGTTTGCATTTTATAAACAATTTTCTAATAGATAATTAAAAACTGGCTATTTAACGCCAATGCAGGCCTTAATAATAATTCCTATGCCTTACCGTTAGTTATATGGCTTCAGGGTATGTCTATTGTATTTACTATCAACTGATTATAAGAGTGGTAAATTATAAATGTCGTGAACTTGAACTTATTATAAGTGTTTGTAGAATAATAGCTAATGTATTGAAACTGATTATGATTATAGAGAAGTGTACTGTAAATGCTATTATTAGGAGCGATAAGATTGCTAAATCACTTTACCCAGTATATTCACATAATTATTTAGTGGAAATTGAATTTAAAACATTGGTTTTAATTTTTATAATAATAAATGTTTATAAATATTTTACAAATAAAGTTTTAATACTTATGCATTTTTGGTTTGCATTTTATAAACAATTTTCTAATAGATAATTAAAAACTAATCTAAAGTTTATCACAAGAATCACAAGAATATTGAAATTATTTATAAACAACAAAAAAAACTATATTAAGACATGAATCTAAAGTATGAATTGACTACACAGGGGGTCCCGGTGCCAGTTCTACCGGCTTCGGTAACTTCAACGAAATTGGTCCCCAAGATGTGAACCTGAAAACGAGAACCACGTCCTGGATCAAATACGCCAATTTGCTATTCATTGATAATCCGGTGGGAACGGGATATAGTTATGTCAGCAAATCGAGCGCCTACACCAAAGATAACAAACAAATCTCCATAGATTTAGTGACACTCTTAAAGGAATTCTACAAACAATCGCCAGAATTTGAGGTAAAAATTAATTCTTGTAATTGTAATGAAGTTTTAAATGCCTTTCCCTTGCAGTCCACACCACTGTATATCTTCTCGGAGTCCTATGGCGGCAAAATGACCGCCGGATTCGCTGTCGAGCTTCACAAAGCCATACAAAACAATGAGATTAAAGCCAACTTCAAGGGCATAGCTTTGGGTGACTCTTGGATATCACCGATCGATTCCGTTGCCACTTGGGGTGAATACCTGTTTTCATTGGTATTCATAACTTTACTTTCATAATAAGCGTCTATTCAATGAACTAATGATTTATTCTCGATATTCAAGTCATATATCGACAGAAACCAAAAGAGTCAGATCGACGCCAAAGCCAATGATATCCGAGAGGCCCTCAAGAGTGGTCAGTACACCAGAGCTACTAGTCTTTGGGGATCACTCGAAGGTCTGGTCAGTATGTTGACGGGTGGTGTCGACTGGTATAACGTGTTGTACGGCTCTGACAATCAGCTGAAGAATAGGAAATACGCGATGAAAATGAATGGTTTGCAAACACCACTCAACAGATCCATTATCAAGCATTTGGGTCGATATCATAACGACCAGTTGGACACCATCATGAATGGCGTCATTAAGACTAAACTTAAGTAACCGCTAATTGATCCCACGTTTAAGAAATGTATTGATATCCATGTATTGGACAGAATCCCATCGAGTGTCACATGGGGTGGACAGTCGGGTGAGGTATTCCAGGAATTGAGCACCGATTTCATGAAACCAGGTGTCGATGACGTGGACTACCTGTTGAACAGCACTGACCTCAAAGTAGTGGTATATACGGCTCAATTGGATCTGATTGTCGACACAATCGGAACTCTGGATTGGATTCATTCACTCAAGTGGTCGGGTCTTAAGGACTTCGAGGCCTCCGCCAGAAGTGAAATCACAAGTGGCGGCGAAATTGCAGCCTATTATCAGTCGCACAAGAATTTCCATCTCTATTGGATCCTAAAGGCCGGACATATGGTGCCATCAGATCAGGGAAACACTGCCCTCACAATGCTTCAGAAGATTATTCAGTAGACTTCAGACAAGCCATTGATGTATAAAAGGACTCGTAGTTTAGAAACTTTTTATCCAAATATTTATGAGAATAATTTTGTTCCGGATTAGATTAGTATTTATTTTTATTAATGACATAAACTTTTTCAAAATAGTCTTTTGATAGTCATATGAAATATTTTCCTATGAAATATGAACTGATTATTAAAATGCCCAGAGTTTGATGAGATTACTATTAAACACTATTAATGTTTCATAAAATAAATAACTTTTTATTATATTTTAATTGACTGCGAATGAAAACAATGTTTTACTTTATAAGCATCATTAATGTTGATTAAAATTAACACTTATTTTAGTTGTATTACTAAATAAATAAACTATTTGTTGCACTTTAATGGAAATACAGTATTATTCCTATGTATCGCACATATCGATGACATACAGTATACTGCAGTACATGTTGTCATTAGGTATAGGAATATATTTAGGAATTTATTCATTCATTGAGATAATGATTAATCATTTCAGTATTTGACAGCAATTTTAATGGTGTTTTGTAAGTCCGCTAGGAAGTGGTGATAAGTTGTTTAGCAAAATAAATTTATACGTGTTTTGACAGAATTTTTCGCCTAGACAAGCCATTGATGTATAAAAGGACTCGTAGTTTAGAAACTTTTTATCCAAATATTTATGAGAATAATTTTGTTCCGGATTAGATTAGTATTTATTTTTATTAATGACATAAACTTTTTCAAAATCGTATTTTGATAATCATATGAAATATTTTCCTATGAAATGTGAACTGATTATTAAAATGTCCAGAGTTTGGTGAGATTACTATTAAACACTATTAATGTTTCATAAAATAAATAACTTTTTATATACTTTAATTGACTGTGAATGAAAACAATGTAACTCTTACTTTATAAGCATCATTAATGTTGATTAAAATTAACACTTATTTTAGTTGTATTACTAAATAAATAAACTATTTGTTGCACTTTAATGGAAATACAGTATTATTCCTATTTATCGCACATATCGATGACATACAGTATACTGCAGTACATGTTGTCATTAGGTATAGGAATATAAATATTATTTAGGAATTTATTCATTCATTTGTTGAGATAATGATTAATCATTTCAGTATTTGACAGCAATTTTAATGGTGTTTTGTAAGTCCGCTAGGAAGTGGTGATAAGTTGTTTAGCAAAATAAATTTATACGTGTTTTGACAGAATTTTTCGCCACTTTTTTCATTGGTTTGATATATCAATAGATAACATATTCTTGGAAACAATATTCCATAAGCTATTGATAAGCACAGAGTACTTATAAAGTATAACTTGAATGCCATTCAAAACTTATTACAAACTTGTTTTGAATTTTGATATTTAGATCATTTGATGTGTGTTTGAGTTTCATTTAACAAACTTTCATTCAATTCAATACCTAATTGTGTATCCATTGACACAATCACACGATGGGCTCTAACAACAAGTTTGGCATATTTTATGTGATCACACGAGTGGTACTGGCGATTCTCACCCTAATAGCCATCATCGGTATAATCGTGGGCATCGTGTACTACTTGGACGACAGACACCGTGGAGACTCAACCGGGTATATCATCTGGACAGTGGTGGCCCTCATACTAGCTATATGTGGATTCTATGGCGCCTGGAAGGAGCACTTCCTATCGACTCTGATCTACGCCATCGGGGAACTCATACTATGTTTGGCGGCAATTAGTTTCGCGGATCAGGGGGTCTACACCCGAGTAACACAAATCTGTGCCATCATAGTCGCAGCTATATATGCCTGGATGCTTTATGCCATCGGTAAACGGGATTATGGTTTGCCCTGTTCTGCATAATTGTTTTAATACTACCGTAACCTGGATTATATTTTTGTTTTAAAAATTTAATTTTCAATCAACTATTCATTCATTGAGTCTATGTTTGTATTCATATATGAATTAAATTCTAGATTGTGTTTCATATTTCTGTTTGCAATAAGTATTATGTTGTAATTGGTTTGAAGTGTTTTATATTCAAATGTGTAAATTAAAATTAATTTTAATTAAGACTAACATTTATTATCTCAAAATGTTTGCGCAGTATTTGAATTGTTTATGAAGTAATCGCTAAATATAACTAAAGTATTTGCGATATGATAGGCGTTCACAAAAATCATACAAATATTATTGAATGAATAGTTATCTTAAATTTCGATTAAAAATACTAAATATTTATTTTTTATCTAGACATTTTAAGTTTTACGTAGACTACTTATTGCCAATAGGTATTGTTACCAGAATAATTCACACATCTCCAATTTTCACTAACTATTCAAATACTAGACAATAGTATCATTTATTTTTTAAGACAATTAAAATCATAATTCTTATAAATCCATACAAAGCCCATAAATATAATATTGGAAAATAGTTGTGCAAACACCTAACCTCTCCTTTATTTGACTGCTACTCAGATAATAACTAAACAACAATTGATTAAATCAATGAATTATTTCTTATATCACACTCTCCTCGACATTTAACAACACACTCATTCATTTGCTCTATTGATAAACCATTGAATACTGAAAATTACAACATTTTGTGTCATTATTTGCAACAAACTTTCATAGAATCTCTCGATTAAATACAGACTGTATTACAGAGATACTGTATAAGAATTTAAATGATACTGAACAGTACTGTACAGTATACTGTACAGTATACATTTATGGCATACAGTATTAGGGCCCATAAACTGTGTGGGTTGTATGGATTTAATTGTCGAGTGCTATTAAACCCTATTTTAATTACCGTACCAAAAAATATTTATCTATAATAAAATTCGTTAATAACAAATTGTTATAAATTTAAAAATCTGTTATTAATCTCTTTCTCTCTTAAAAATTTAATCAAAAATTATTCAAAATAAAACATAAAAATTAATTAAATAAATACTTTAATCGTAAAAAATATGAAATCAATTTTAGTCCACAAAAAATAATTTAAAAATCCAATAAAATGTCAATCAATGTTAGAGTTAATTAAGTTTTAATAGAAAAGACAGCAAAACAATTGCAATGTATATATAAAATAACTCGTAATTCACTTCCGTTTCTTAGACGTCGGGTTATTAGCGATATTGGGATTAATTGTATTCATTTGATGCACTTTAGCACTAATCCGGTTCACGTAATATAAGCCAATGAACGAGAAAATTAAACTGCAAATAAAATTCAAACCATAAGTTAATATATTGTTCACACCTGTAGTCAACACTCGTTACAATCAACTAATGGTCAAACAGTACACTATAATCGCTATTAAATTAGTTGTCATTAAATTAAGTGCTAATGGACAATACTTTCAGATAACTGTAAAATACTCTGTATATTCAATATTCAATACACAAAGCATTGCTTTACTATAACGAGTGTCTACACAATAATCTGTGGTCACAAAGACAAGCATATTATGCATACCAGCAGGTGATGGACACTCGATGGACACCGCCGGACACGAACAGCGCGATCACCAGACTTATGATCACTACAAGCGATACAGGAATCAAATGAAATCACTCATAGCCTCAACAATCAACCCATGCCTACCTTCCCAGAGTTTGCTCTGGAAGTGTTTGCCGAATAAACTCATCTCCAGATTACTAATGGCGGTGAGGATCAGGAGGAATAGCATTGAACCCAAATAGCCGGCAAAGATGGTCATCGGCTGCGATGAGGACAACACCTGTCTATACATTTGCATTATAGCCGTCAGTACTGTCGACAGTGTCAACGACAGGACAAACGACACGCCATTGGACGCCACTGTTGTTGGACACACACGCGAAGAATACGGGATCCAATCGGTGATCACAAACCGGTTATCAATTGGTTTGAGTGGCGAAGACATGCAAGAAACAAAAGACTCGTTTTAGCCATACGTGAGATCTGTGTGTCAATTGGTTTACCCATTGTTGGTGATTAAGTGGTGGTTATCTCGTGGTCACAGTGTGTCCTGTGTTAGCCTAGTTCAGAACTCTACTAGAGTTTTTAACCAAAATTAAAAAGTTTAGTTTACTTCTCAACCTCTCAACACAACACTCCCGACAGGCATTTATTGCACACAAAAACACAGTGTTGTCCGGCTGCCATACGGTCAACAACCACCACCTATTGACAGCCCCTGTAGTGAACCGATTGGCTTAACTGTAAAACATTTTCACAATAAATTATAAACGCTTTCTATGCGAGAGCTTTACAGTGAAGCCCTACACTGCTGTGAATAATAGGTGGGAATCAACACTAAAAGCATACTCAACTCGTGCTATAACTCAATATTTAACACAAAATCAATTAAAAACTCAACTAGTTAACATTATACAAATTAAAACAAAACTAACCAAGCTAGTAAATCATAAAACTAAACAAAAACCCGAATAAATTGAACACAATTCACGAATAATCGCCAAAACTGTTGACCCAAAACATGGACGTACTCTATGAACAGCGCCTTAACTCGATGCCCACAAAGCAGTGTTGATATCCTTTTCCGCTGAAGTCTTGTGCATAAAAGTCACACAAGTCTCGCATCGATCACCGAAAACAATGGTAAACCCAATGATAACTCGCGTACCACTCGCCCATACCTAACCCTTGCATTCCTCCGCATATCCACCGCTCGTACGCCAGACTCAGAAGCGCCGGAACAACGGTCGGGCCAAACACGGGAGGGGACACGTGAAGCCCGTGCGCTGTACTAACTGTGCCCGATGTGTGCCCAAAGACAAGGCCATCAAGAAGTTTGTGGTGCGGAATATCGTGGAGGCGGCCGCCGTCAGGGACATCACCGAAGCATCGGTCTATGATTGTACGTGTCTTGTGGTACACTTGTCGTGATTGGCACACGTCGAGTACGTGCAGTCAGTCTTTGAGTAGTGGTTATGAACGCCACTGAAGACATTGTTGTTAGTGGTGTCGCAGCCGTTGAAGACACGGGTCTTCCGGTGGTTATGTATAGCACGTGAAGACACGGACTTCTTCGCGTGATTTTACGGCTACTGAAGACCCGTGTGTTTGAGGCTTTAGATCCGCTAACAGTAAAAGTGATTGCCTTTGAATGGCATTCATATCTATTGAAGACACGAAGTCTTCTCGTAGTTTTCATTTCAGACATAATGACTGATTGTTTTTCGTGTTT